GGGGGGAAAAAAAAAAAAAAAAAAAAAAAAAAAAAGGAAGGAAATTTGCTTCTATAGAAGGTTAGAGCCCCACTTCAGGCATTTTTACTGTCTCCTCATAAGAAGCATTCCCACACGCCTCCCGCTCCCGCAAGCCCACGCCACATGTTCTACATTAGTCTTACATTCCCCTTTTCCAGCCTCTTTCCCATTGCAATTCCCCGCCACTTGCGCGGATGCACCGAGGACGCGTTTCCGCGCCGCACATCGCGCACACGTGCACGGAACCGACATCACCCTGCCGGCGCGCGAGCTGCAGTTTCCCGTGCACATCGCCGCCGTATTTTCACGTGCCCTCGTCCGCCGAGCCGGAGCGATGGGAGAGAGCGATGGGAAGCGAGCGAGGCGGCAGCAGCCCCTTCCCTCCTCGAGCATCCCCCAGCCGAGCCCCCTCCCCTCGCCTGGCTCTGCCCATCCAGCCGCCGGCGACGACTTGACTTTCCCAGCCCCTACGTGAGAGACGTGCAGCTTGACAGCAATTTAATGGATCGCCGTCAAAAGGCCAGATGAAGGCATCGCTCCGCATCCATTCGAGCCTCCTGTTGACGAGCAAGCGGACAATCGGACTAATTATTTCAGAGCAGCCGGGAGGGAGCTTTTTGAGGATGCTCCCAGCGATGCTCCGGCTCCCTCCTTCCCCCTGGGGAGCGCATCGGCCTCGCGTGTCTCTGCTATACTTCCATTCCCACCCGGCTTTGTGGCTCTGCTCTTTGTTGCTGCCAAGGAATTAATAGCGCCTCGAGTTAAAATAAAAACTAAAGAAAGCCCAGTCATGTTCTTCCCGTAGAGCGCAGAGAACGGTGGCCAGCATGGCTTGTTCCCACCCTGAGAGAAAATAATTAGAAGCCACGTTATGGTATTAATAAGCCCCTCGGTGACTTAATATATTAAAGTACGTCAGTTTTTTGCTCTGCCAAGGAGGGAATTCTCCCCTCTGAGAAACCAGGTGAATAAAGCAACAAAAGCCACAGGGAGGCTCCGCGTACACGAGGGATTTCTTTCAAAGGTGTCAGTCCTTGAAAAAAGCCGAACCAAGCAGATACATCTGCAAAGCATTAGGCCAGGAGACATTTTACCCCACTAAAAGCAAAGCCCCGTGGCAACCCAGATGTTCAGCCTGTTGCTGAAAGCCATTTCCTCAGCAGCGTCTGCTGCAGAGCTGCCCTTGCCAAGCACCGGCTGCATCTGCAAGCGGCGGCTACGGGGCTCAGCCCCCCCTCGCCGCGTGCCTGACCCATAGCCATGGGGCAACATGTGGCAGATTCGTAGGATATTTTCTTTTATTATTATTTCTCTTTTTTTTTTTTCAAGGGGGAACTTTCCGGCCAAGGGAAATGAAGGTCCAAAGCGACTTTAAAAACGCCTGCTCAAGAAAAGCATCGGAAAGACTGATTCACCCCAACTGCCCAAGCCCAGCCTTTGCCAGGCTGCAAAGTGCCACCTCCTCACTCCCGGCGCTCCGCAGCCCCGGATCTGCGGATTCCTGCGACGCTTATTTAGAGTTACGCGGAGTTGCACAACTGGCAGGTTGTCAGTGTAGCTGTTGGGCGAGTTAAAAGAATTGCTTCTTGAGCTTTAGTATGGTATTATGATTCATGATTTGGTTTATAGTAACACCGGGATGACCTAAGCGTTTGCTTTTATTATTTTTTTTTTTTTT